CTGGGGGGTCGGCCGGTGGGGATCATCTCGAGTAACTGCGAGGTGAACGGGGGGGCGCTGGATGCGGCGGGGAGCCAGAAGCTGGCGCGGCTGCTGAAGCTGTGCGATGTGATGAATCTGCCGGTTGTGCAGTTCGTCGACGTCCGTATGTCTTCTTCCCTCTTCCCCCTGCAACTGCAGAAATGAAGATGCTAATGGTGTAGCTGGATATGCGATCGGGACCGTCGCCGAACGCACCGCCACGATGCGCTGGGGCGTCGAGCTGGCCAAAACCTACTTTGCCACGACGACACCCATCTTCAACGTGATTACCAGGCGCGCGTATGGCGTTGCCGGCGGCATCATGCTCGGTGCCCGGGACCCCGTCGTTCAGGTGGCGTGGCCGTCCGGGCAGTGGGGGTCTCTGCCGCTGGACGGGGGGATCGAGGTGGGCCATCGCCAGGAGCTGCGTGAGGCGGAGCAACGGGGTGGGAAGGAGGGCAAGGCTGCACGGTATAAGGAGTTGGAGGAGGAATATCTGCGGCTGATGAACCCGGTGCGGACGGCCAATGCGTTTGGGGTGCAGGAGATTGTCGATCCCAAGGATACAAGGAAGATCTGCTGTGGATGGGTCAGACATGTGTATGAGGTGTTGATGGCAGAGCGGTTGGCTTTGAGGAATTGTGGGAAGATCCAGCCTGTTTTTGCATAGTACTCCGTAGTCTACGGATGCTCCGAGCGTTCTGATATAAGATTGGCTTGAAGTCTCTTATTAAAGAGACTTGGGTTTGGAATCTAAGGTCTTCCGGGGTGTATATCCTACTTTATATCTTACGTGTAGCTTCGATAAGTAGCTCGGATGATCCTTAACAAGTAGTTGACAAGGACAGACTCAGCATGTCATGACATCTCCCCATTCGCTATCATCAACCATAATCCTTCCACTCTATCAAATCTGTCCACCTAGCACTGAATGGACACGCCCGCATACAGAACCGAGTGACAACCAGTGTCAGGCACGGTGAACGAAGACCCATGGCAGTTGCTTCCACTCCAGGTCTTCACAGTGCACCCACTTCACCCATTAGCTGTTGCCTGCACAAACGGGTGCAAGGGAACTTACTTCTTGGAAGGCACCGAAATCGACCGCTTGTTGGTGACGGCAACGCACCGATAGGAACCAGAGCCTACAAGGCTGATCGAGTCAACCGGTCCGTCGCAGAGGTCGCCACCCCAGAATTTGGCAGTAACGTCAACGTTACTCTGCGCAACGTCCATAACATTGGTCTCAAGGGGAGACGCCATGAGGGCAGCGGGGAAAATGCCGAGGAGCAGGGTGGTAAGACGCATGATGGATTGCTGTTGGAATAAGAGGGTGGTGTCTGAATAGACTGAGATAATTGCGAGTAATAAAGTGATAGTAGAAGATCTCAAAGAGGGAGGACGGGGGATCCTTCCGTTTCCTGGGGGGATACCGTGGGCTCCGAGGCCTCCGCGGTAATGGACATATTTTCCAAAGAATAAGGGCTTCAGTGCTTATACGGAGTAGATGATTTGCCAAGTCTAGTATCTCAAGTCTCTTGCTCCGTACGGTCTTAGTGATTTTGGTCAAAAAGTACGTACCTCGGTGAGACCTACTGATCCATCAAAATCTCATACCACTAGGCTAAAAAGGTGTCCGGACGATGTACTCGTCAGTCTAGGGTTACATATCCATAATCATAGTGGTATAACATTTTAACATGATAGACGACGGAATGATAGTGATCTTGGTAAGTTCCTTAGACTAGATGGATGAACTGGACGCTGGAGAGCCTTGAGCTGTACATGCACATGGAGTGACATCCATGCTATTCTGTATAGTATCACTCACTGACCAGGCCCTCCCTCGCGTAGTATGGCCCCTCTACGCTTGTAAACACTAGCTTAGGATGTCTCGGAGCCCCGCCGACAATCTTACTAGGGGTGGATCTACAAAAGCAGAGGCAATGCACTATGTTGTGTGAGGAGAAAGTGTTCAAAAAGTGATGACCTTTGCGGCACCTATGGAAAGGGTGAAGATAGCCATCTGAACACAGCTAAGCATGTAGGTTCTGAAAAGATATCAATGGAGGTATCCCCTCACAAGTCAAGGTACACACAATGTACAAATGAATGAAACAAATCAATGTACCACTATGCTGTCTCCCACTGGCCCTGACTTGGGTGACTTTGTTGCATTAGGACCAGACTAGCTTATATCCCAACCGCACTAGAATAGCATGGTACATAAGGTCTTTTGGGGCCAGGAGAGCATCAAAAGTACAAACTGTTCTTCACTACCCTGGGAAAGGACTCTATGCACAAGATTTGCTGTCATCACATACTGTCCCTAATCAAAGGCCCACCCAAAAACACCAAGTATAAGCATCGCAAATCATTGGCGCGTATCTTCAGTAACCCCATACTTAGATATGCATCATTTGTACAAGCGCAATATCCATCCTGTCATGGTAGCATCGTCTGTGGAGTGGGCAATAGACCACAGAGCCACTCTAACACCTCAACTGCTTCATGGGTTATCATTCGCCATGGGGATTGGCAGACAAGGATCAGGAAGGAGTCACTCTGTGTTCTAGGCTGGATTCTAGCAAGGTATGAGTGCATAAATTTCTCACTTGATATATGGGAGCAGCAACTCGCCGTGTGCAAAAGTACACTGGAAAACTAGAACGACAGAATCTCACAGGGATCAACACCAAAATCCCTGCATCGGCTCGGAAGCAGAACACAGAGACTCATTTCTTTTCGCATAACGGAGTAGAGTTGTTTTGACTAGCCTCAAAGGCCAGACCCTGTTGTGGTCTGATTCACGTTCATACCCACAAAGTCCGAAGATTGCTGATATTCTCTTTATGGAGAATACCATCAATGTTTTATCCAATTGCCACGACTTCTTAGCCAACATCTATCTTTATGGCAGCAAACAGAGTTAGATAGCCAACTCGCCTGGCCCTGAGGCCATGCATGGCCTACCCACAATGTATCGTGTCTAAGTGGGCTCATCTAATATCTAACTGAGTGCTAACATCGGCACAGCGCGCAATGATCCATGGTGTTTGTTGGAACTTTCTGCTATGAGTATCTATATGGTTGTTAGAGGAAGGTTAGCCACCATATAGCTCATCAGGTGCATAAGCCTATCTGTTATTAGGATAAATTGAGTTTATACTACGTAGATTTATGCTTATTTGGTAAGAGAACTATATTCTAAAGCTCTGAAGCTTGCCATCATTGCTGTCACATCAGTTACTGATGCTCTAGCAAATGGTAGCTCATAGTATGTTACATTAGACTAGGGCAATGGCGTATCACCGACATGGATTTGGGGATTTGGAGGTCGTTTGAGTACGACTATGGTGCACTTGGCATGTCGAAGCTATTTAGTTTCGTGGATTACAGATACATCCACCCTCACAGCAAGGGGTCTTCCAGTTCCAGGCAAAGACGGCCAAGTTTCCATCTTGGCAGTATGAGTCGTATGTTACTGTAGGGTATGTCTACTCCGAGGAACACCAAGATTAGGGTAAGTATAACCGACAGCTGGGTATGTCGCCATAACGAGGACATCGGTCTCCAAGCTAGATCAGGTCAAGGACAAGTACCTGACCGCTGGCGTTTGCAAATGCAATTGCATCCTGCCCAGAGTAGCCGACACGCCCCTGTATTCGGGTGGTAGCTAAAGCAGCTTCTGGTCACCTCTCATCACCCATGCCGGGGCATTATACAGGACAGACCGGGACAGCTCAGGGTCAGGGGATGGAGCCAGAACACCAGACGCCAGCGTATACAACCTCTGGCTTGTCTTCAAATACCGCCCATCGTCCGAAAATAGTAGATCTTTACCATGGACATCGCTTTTGATGCTTTGCAGGTCTGTGGCCGCCTCATCACTTGCAAGCTCGTCATACGCGCGATTCCAAACTCGCTGAGACTTCCGCTCTGGGGCGTTGGCTTTAGCCTTAGTATGACTTAAAACATTGGCGACAGCCGGAGTGCAAGAGGGGTGTCGGGTTTCTTCGCAGGTTCCTGCTTCTGGGCCTTCTGCTTCTCCCGGCGTCGCCTTTGGCATGGGAACAGCTTTGACAGTCCCGTAATATGGCAGTACAAGTTCGTCCTAGATGCTAAAGCTCTTGAGTCAGTGACTGATCAATTTCAGCAGAATGCAGAAGCACTTCTACGGCTACGGACTGCCTTTACTTTGCCCATCTTGAATGTGGATGTGGGTAAGAACATGTTGTCGGTAGGTAGCTGGAGCATCATCTTTAACGCCTATCACCTGGAGGATGGCCCACAGCTTCAGCTGATTGGGCAGCCACAGCCGATGATACGAGAGTCAATCTGTGATGGTGTTGATGAACTATGACGATCGTGGGGAATACCTATCACCACTGTCTACCAAGCTATACGGTTGGGCAGTAAATCGCTGATCTTCATATTGAGGGATGCAAGGCCGCCCTGTAGTACATATACTACAGCTTGTAGAGTAATGCTAGACGAGTTGCTTCACAAAGTGTACTCTGTAATAACAATTGTAAGACTATATACAAATAATAAGCATCTTATACCTTGCATCGCCTTTGTATAATTCCTGGTATGCTGACTATCACCCTTGATCTTACTCTCCACTTTTAATCTATCAAAAGTGTTGGGCAACACCCATTACCATCTTATACATGGTACATATAGTACTAGTAACAGCCAGTATCCCTGTTAGCTGTCAACCTGGTAAGCATAACCTTCCAAAGCAATCCAAAGTCATTTCTTGGCTATGCGGGGACGCAATATATAACTGCCTGCTGCCTAGTCCATCGACCACCTGTAGTAACCATTTCCACTCCATCTACCTATCTGCAAAGGTAACACCCAGATTGACATTGGAACAAAAGATGCTCTCTGAATTTTGGTGAGGTTGCCCATATATCACCAATAGCATATCAACTAACAAACCACAAGCCCCAGCTATGCAGTGAGGCATATCCCAGCTCACTTCCCCAAAAGACACATCTTAACAGCAATGAGCAGCCCTTCTTCGGTGCCCTAGGATGCACCAGTGCCATCGTTTTCACTGCCTGTGGTGCAGCCTACGGAACCGCAAAGGCCGGCGTCGGCGTCTGCTCCTCGGGTGTCCTCAGGCCCGATTTGACAGTGAGGAGTATGCTCGCCGATTCTGGAGCCAAGCCACACGATCCGCTGATCCCAAGTCTAGACATCGTGCCCGTCGTCATGGCCGGTATCCTCGGTATCTACGGCCTGGTCGTTTCGGTCCTCATTGCAAACAGCCTCTCCCAAACGGTGGCTCTCTTCACCAGTCTCGTCCAGCTGGGTGCAGGCCTCTCGGTTGGACTCTGTGGGCTAGCTGCTGGGTATGTTGTCTGCCAAAAAGGCGTCGCGGCGTCTAACCCGGATCTACTAGCTTCGCTATCGGAATCGTGGGCGATGCCGGCGTGCGAGGAGCGGCTCAGCAGCCGCGGCTTTATGTGGGTATGATTCTCATTCTGATCTTTGCCGAGGTCTTGGGTAAGATGCCTTTGTTCCTGCCCTGGCTTTGATGGAGACTGATGCGGTAGGAAGGCCTGTATGGCTTGATTGTGGCTCTGTTGATGAACTCTAGGGCGGGGGTGCTGGAGCATAAATGTAGCTAGCTGACTGCGGTTTTGGTGCTTGGGGCTAGGATTGGATGGACGAGAGTCCTCTGTCCCATACGTCCTCTACAGGTTAGCTATTGCCTCATTGTAGCGTGGCTCTGGAGTTTCTTGGGCAGAATTTCATGATAGTATATTACGTTCTTTTAGCTTGCTGCAATAGAAAGTATCTTCATACGTAGTAGGATTGATGATGGATTCAACATCCTCCCCTTTATCCAATCCATATCGTCGATATGGCTTCTCTGAAGAATGCAGAGTGTATGATGCCAGGAATTGAAATGGCAATATTCAAATCAAGAGCCAGATACAGCGGTGCAGCGTAAGATAATGAGGGAAATGAGTGATATATCCTCTCTGCTCTTTTTATATGCATTCTGCGATTAGCGTTGAACGTCGAGTCACAATTTGACAGGAGACAATAATATAACCCGGAAGATCATTCAGACGGCGGTAATGAATATCAGAGATGGGGAGCAGCCCGAGTTCGGTAAATGTACCTCCTAACGAAGAATGGGCAAGGAAAAGGCTGGAGTTTAAAGAGCTGATCTGAGAGGAGCGCGACCCATACAATTTGCTATAATCAAGATCAGACGCCTGAAAAGGGAAAAGGGTCGAAGGGGTGCTCTACGGGCGACGGAGTTACTTGGACACTTGCGGCCAATGTACAGAGTAGTGACAGCCACCGATCTCCCAATCGGCTTATATGAGCTGAAATGATGGACTGCATCACTAAGACTGTGTGGAGCACCAGCCCAAAAAGGGAAGCTAGGCAACATAGGCGAGCAGCACACTCCCACACATGACGCATGGGACTTTCTAACTGCATGTTCTAACTCTTGACCTTATATTTGGGACAACTAGATTGGGTATTGGGCATTGTAATTGCTCTAGGTGCTTGCTTTGTGCATACTCGGGCACCGTCAATGGTAGAAGGAAATGATTGGCTTCTCTAAGCGCCAACAGCGTCATAGCGTCGACTCTGGTTCGCGGGTTGGAAGAGCACATGGACTAACAACATACAGACACAGCTGCATACAATACAGAATGACAACTGGTATCCGGCACTCTGAAACTCGACCCCTTGCAGTCGCTGCCGCTCCATGTCGTGATGATACAGCTACTGTAAGCTTATTAGTGCACGAAACAGAATGTTTGCCCAGCCAATCACGTACCTGTTATCAACCACTCGAATGGACCTCTTGTCGGAGGGAACAAGGACACACCGTTGGGACCCACCGCTAGTAATCGCAAAAGAATCATCCGTGCCGCCACAGGTGTCGCTTCCATACATGTCAAATGTGGCTAATCGGGTGGTCCCGTTGTTTGCTGAGGATTGATTATTGTCCGTCGACGTGATGGTGGAAGATGGGGGATTCGTCGTAGTAGACGTCGGATTGTTGTTAGAAATGGTGGTGGAGGGAGTCGGAGTGTTGGTGCTATTATTTGCTGAGGGAGTTGATGACGATGATAAGGCCGAGTCGCTATCATTTTCAGGTCAGTCGGCAGTCCCATCAATCCAAGAGCAGTCTTGCGAGAGAACACCCACCTTTGAATACTGCTATTCTTATGGGCAGCGCGGCTGCCCAGAACGCCCCCTACAACCGCAGCGACCACAATGATCGCAAATACCGCCAAAGCGACCAGGATCCACCCCCATCGCTTTGTCTTCTTCGGTCCAGCTGTATCACCGGCTACGAACGGTTGGGTCGTTTCTGTGGCCCATTGCGCCTGACCCTGTTGATTAACGACATATTTATCGTTGTGTCCTGGTGGGAAATAAGAAGGCTGCGGTGACTTCGTCGTCGGCCCGACCACACACTGCGGGGCGCTGTTGGGCTCTTCCTCGAGATAGTGACGCTCCTAGATCGGAAGAAGTTAGCTCTGCTATTCGAGTAACTGGCTTGCACTATAAGGCGGAGGACAGACCATCGGAAGCTTCTCTTTCGACATCAGTGAGCGATCAACACGCGCAGGTTCGCTAGGAGAGGGAGTCGGTGTTGAAAACAATGGTCATCATATCCCAGGGGCTGGGAGAGCAGGGAGGACAGAATGTGCAAAGAGATTAGTCTAAGTCTAACCCAGCAATGCTTACCTTAGTTAGTTACCTTACACAACTTGCGGCTGACTATATCGCCAATCCTACCAATGCCGTCCATCTCAGCGCATGGGGCACTATCTAGCGCCCCAGGCTTCGCAGATCGCACTTCAGCAAGGTCTTTGGATACCTAGGTAAAGTTAAGACCTTAATGAGGTTTTAGCTACGATCTTCTCCGTAAATGTGGCACGATGGAAAACCTTAGTAAGGTCTCAGCTATACTTACATCAATTGGCACCAGCTGAGGGGATAATAGCTGATATTAACAGCCTGCACGAAGGATTGAAACCAACATGATCTTGTCACTATTTGAGTCTGTGAGTTTATTGATGTCCTGCTAACTGTTATTATTGGCGTTGTGGTTGCTACACTGCCTGGGTGTTACTCAGAAACTGCTCTTGCTCCAAGCGACTCTTCTGCAGATCAACTCCGACGAACAAGACTCCAAAGCTTAAAAGGCTCAATCCGAATAGAAAATAGAAGGGTGTGGATGCATTGCCGGAAGGCGTAGCATCGATGATGGCACTGGACACAAGAGGTCCAATGAACGAAGATGTCTTTCCAACAATACTGAAAAGACTGAAGAAAAGGAACTCATATCCGCGGGGTGTCACCTCCGAGATCATGATTTGCGAATAACTATACCAGGGGCATATAAAAAGGCCGTAGAAAGCTTGATAGACCTAGTTTGAGCGTTAGTAATCCAGATTGAAACTTTTGGCTATCCCTCTGTAGTTGCAAATCCCTGAAAGGAGAAACCAAATGTCTTACCCATACTTCCCACACATGATGAAAGCCAAACGTGTCGGTCCAAATTCCTACCATGCCCCAGCCATCAAGAAGAACAATACTGAGTGCAATCACATTGAACATCGTCTTCGTACCAAGCTTATATCGCTGTTGGATGGCCCAGAATACATAGATGCCGACGGCCTAGCAACAAGGTCAGTTATAACAGACCTCCACCATCATCAACCATAACACACCTGCGCTGCGATCCCCACAATCAAGAAATATGTTAGCTGTAGCGTATTATATGCCACCAAACTGTTCTGCAATGTGGAAACCACGGTGACTGTGGTGTTCAATGAATCACCAAGCAGGAAGTATCCTTGAGACGGCCATTAGTAGTGAGATGAATGGATTTGGGAAATAGGAGGCGTACCGGCAAGATATAGTAAGCTCTGCTTCAATTTCCACACTTGACGCATTGCAAAGTAGAGCTGCGACAAGCCTGCCATGATAATGTTCCTAGAGCCAGGATCTTGGCCAGGCCGTCGTTTCTCCAGAAAGAACCATGGCAATGAGACCAGCAGCCAAACACCACTTGCAAAGGCTATCAGAACACTTAAGCCCCAGTTGTTTCTTGCTTCGCTGGCATCGACATCAATACCAAACATGATGCCAACAATGACAGCAAGGATGACAATCTCAGCAACTGACTGAATATAGAAGGCAGTGTTCGCAAGCTGGCTTCTTTTCATGGTATCGGCGTAATCATATTCTTCGCGGGAGAGGGTGCCGTGCGCGTAATCCACGGCCTTTTCTCGCATCTCAGCAGTATTGCGCGCGAGTGATGGAAATGCAGCAGTCCAGAATGTAAGCGTTGTCTGGTAAGCAATCAGCCCGACAATATACAGCCCGGCACCGGTTTGCCATTTATCCGCTGTATGAACGCCTAGCCAGGCGAACCCGAGGGCGTATGCGATGAGAGAGAGGACGATTAGAATATTCGGGCGCCAGTTCCCAATATCTGCAAAGCTGCCTATTAGTAGGAATACCAAGATTTGGATGGCAAAGGAAATCCCGTTGCAGAGGAGGACTATGCTTTCCACAGAACGGAATTTCCCCGCGAAGGCAAGGCCCCCAGTGTCTCCGGCCGCTTGGTAAAGGAGGTTCTGGAAGGCTGTCGGAGCAAAGTCTATACATGTCTAGTTAGGTAAAGATAGCTCGAGGGAGAGGCCTCCAAACTGACTGAACAGAGACAATCCATTATTTCCAATGTAATAACTGTTGCACCGGTCAGCCAGAGCCTGGACAAGTGAGTAGAAACGCACGTGTAATATGCCCATATCTCCCATTTACTAGAGAGGTATTTCTCCTTTGTGCCCTCACTCAATGTGACTTGCTCCAGATTCTTTGTAGGGGCTAACTGATTGCCCACCATAATGAAAGTACAATATTCGTCCCCGAGAATATGAATAAAGCAGACCCCTTTGGATGGCAGGCACTGAATTTATTCAACGCATTAGCAAGCGTATCTTTGCTTATCTCTGGAGCCTGCCATGATCTTTACGGTTGGATCGACTGGCGAATGTGAGTCTTCCCTCTTATCGAATGCCGGAAGATAAAACATTACATTAGCCATTAGCGAGATGAGTATCAAAAGAGTATAGGTTGATCTGTAGATATGTGAAAGCGGACACTGAATCCGTGTTGATGTCCGGGACAGACTTTCCCGAAAGGGTATAGATATGTAGAGATATAGTCCTGCCAAGGTTGGCTGCATGAATGGTATAAAGATCTCTTCCATTGCGATGTTATTCTTCTTCCTTCTCAAAAATCATCTGCCGCCAAGATGCTCAGGAGATGGACTGGGTACTCTGCCCAGGATCCCGTCAAGGAAGACAAGTTCGATCCTAGGGTATGTGTATGCAGTTCTCACATGCCCCTAGTTTGACGGCACGCCAATGCTCAAGAGGTTCCTGGACAGGTGCATCTCCGTTATGTTCCACCTCAAAAGAAGATCACGATGCAGGAGTTGCTCTTGCATCCGAGTCCAACCGCGTCTCCTGTGGCAGGAACGACCCCTTTCCCTTTACTGTCACCGAGAGGCGTGAGGGCCTATCGAAAGGCTCTGTTCCAGCAGGAGGTGATGGATAATTGCGCAAGCTCCCCGTTTCCGGGCACTCTGGTTCTTCGTGACGCAGTCAAGCATTCCCAGTTCATCAGGGAATTCTGGACGCACCCCGAAACAATGAGAATCGTCTCTGACGCGTCCGGTGTACCTTTGGAAGTCGTCATGCCTACCGAGATTGGGCATACGAACATTCAGGTGGAAGGAGCCACGATATCAGAAATGACGAGGAATCTCCAGGTTGAGCCGTCGGGAGAAAAACTGGATCTAAGCCCCGAAGACAAAGCTTATGATCCCTTGAAAGCGAAAAGCTCCATCATTCCCTGGCAGTAAGTCTGTTGTCCGGTCCCCTGATACCGGAGACTGTCAAGACTGATTCCGTGGAAGCTACGACTCTTATCCGTATGTCTGTGTCTTGATGTTGAGTGAGACCGACGGGATGGTTGGAGGAGAAACTTATATTAAAAAGGGGAATGGCGAAGCTCTGAAGGTCAGTGCGTCTCTCTCGTGTGGGATTGTTCAAGCCAGACTGAACGACTGCAGGTCGAGGGTCCCCAAATCGGTCATGCAGTGATGCTCCAAGGAGGCGAAGTCGAACATCTGGCCGCTCGCGCGAAAGGGGTGAGGGAGCGCATATCCACCATCACGTCGTACCGGTCAAGGCTGCCGAATGTTTACGACTCCAGCTACCTTACCAACGTGCGGCCGTATGCGGATCTGGATTCTCTCTACCCCGAATGGGCCCAGTACCGCCTGCGAAAGCTGAGGGACGAAATCACCCACTATCTCCACAAGGCTGAGAAGAAAGAGGACTCTTCCTTCCAACGAGAGGAGCTGCAGAGCATCATCGACCAGCAGATTGATTACTTGCAACGGACCTCTCGGCAAATGGTCTCCCCGGCGTATCGGGATCAAATCCAGAACAAGTATGGCAAAGGAGCATACTACGATGTGTTAGCAATCTGGGAAACCGTCCAATCTCTGCCAGAATTTGAGAGACTTGCCTCTTCCACCGACCAGAATAGACTCTGGATGCCGGAGAGTGCCTATTGGATCGACCTCCAAACGTCGCTCGAGACGATCCGTATGGGCAAGCCGCTTCAGAGCACATCGGGGAGCCGGGAATGGCCCAAGACTAGGAAATATTACATGGGCGATGAACTTTTAAGACAAGGCTTGAATGAGGTCTTTTTGGATTGGCTAGGGAGCTCGGGTCTTTGGGTTCTTTACTGCAGCGTTAGCATTAGGAAGTTGTAGTCGAATGCTATCATCGGTTTTACCCTGGCTCTCATCCTTTTCTGCCGACATGGTGAGACCGGGAAACTTTTACCCTTTTGCGTAATCCCATGCAATCGGTTCGACCTGTCTTACTCAATGTAGCCATACAGTGGATCAGAAATCGTACTTGCGAATCTCATAATTACAACCCTAGCCACTGAAACAACAATGAATAACTGATCTTCTGCCGTCCCAAGAATACGCAGGTATCCTCAGACGTAACGCCACTGGAGGCGCAGCTCTACCAAAAGTCTCGGTATCCGAATCCTTCGAAGCCCACCGACAATGGCAGCTGTTCACGTCTTCGCCCGGGAGGGTTCTGCAACATCCAGGTGCAGGCTTAAAGCTCCAGCCTAGACATCTCAACAGAAATCCCTCGATGAAGCTGCCGACAGGGAAAGGTTTCACTTTCGCCTTGACTTCAGACCTGGACCTTCGCCAGGCGCTGCTGAGCGGATACGAGCCACACCCGGTGCCTCGATGAATAACAGTGACGGGCTGATGCCAGCGAAGAAACGGAAGCCGTGCTGCCTGCCCACATTGAAAACCGCAGCCATGACCAACGACCCTGGCCTCTGGCATACTTGATCTCTTCCCTGCCCAACACCCGCGTGGTCATGAGCTTGCATCACACTGTGGGATACTCGGGGTTCCAACCATTGTGGCTATTTCAGGGGGAGTCATCCAACGATATCCTCATTAAGGAGACCGTTCAGATGCATCGATCGGCTCAACTTGCGTGCTGGGCCGCAGGAAGGAGGTGCTGGGCCGCAGGAAGGAGGCAAAAGTGTTTTCCCTCGCGAGGTCAGTGACGGCGGAACGGCCTTGGGGGAGATGGGCGAAATCATTGGTTCCTCGGTAGAAAATGAGAATGCTTCTCGGTGTGATCCAGGAGACAATGGCCAATTGTCTGAGAGATTGGCAGCTAAGTATGGAGGTTGGTTGCATGACAAATTGGGTTAAGACTCATGAATTGTGCAGAAGTAAGGGATAAGTCTATGTAACCGTGCTTCTGAATCTGTCTCTAACACTGCTTGTCGCAAGGCTACAAGCCTACAAGCCCTATGTAGTACCCATGCCATGCCTTGGGTACTCCCCTCCGGTATAGAGCTTTTCAGGTAGACAAATCTGAAGTCAACTGATTCTCCGTTCTACTCACTAACCACCACCCAGGACCCTGACCCAATGTCTCAGATAACCCCCAAATATAGCCCTGCCTGTCCAACCCTCGCGATCCGACTAACTGCAAACCGCAAGAGAATGCGAAATCCTAGTGAAACCGCTAATCCCTTTTCTGGCCTCGCCAAGACGCTCCTCCGCTAGCTTTCTTAGCGCGGTTTCAGGCACCCAAGTTTCGGGATGGGGATCCACAGGGGATGGGATTGTTCGAGAAGGATTCTTGCGTTAGGCTACAGCTCTGGTCACTGGGATGCCATGTTGCTGATGGGTGTATTGGGTATACTGCAGATACACGAAACATGACGAAAAGAAGAAATTGTACATCAAGTTAAACAGGGTATGTGCGGACAAGACTCGGAACAGAGGAGAAACGACAACAAAAAGAAAAGAAATAGCAAAGGAGGGAATATCAGATAACCGCCTGCGCCTTGCGACTGTCATTCCAGTCAGTGTCCACCAGTCCAGTCCATTCTATCTTCCAATTCAAGATGTAGAGACGGTGTCATCCTTCAGATAAAGGAGGAGATGATCGGCCAGCCGAGGGCAACCCCGCAAATCGACAATCGCCGGTCGTATCCGTAGATAGATGTAGTGTAGTGTAGTGTAGTGTAGTGTATATAGTAGTAGAACTCCGGCAATGCATGCGAATGGCGAATGGAAGGAACGCGAAAGCCGAGATGATGAACCCCAGCGAAAAATAATCCGAGCCCCGGCCTGCGGGACAGTCATCTAGTCGTGGGATTCCAAGATGGAGCATTCATTCATCTCATGGCATCACAGGTCCTGGACGACGGCTCGGTAAGGCGAGTCGTTCAGGATCTCTGATGGTAGTGCTCGTCGGTAGTCTCTGGGTTGTGCAAAAGGCGATGAAGATGAAGAAGGCCGACGGAGTTTGAGTGACTATTGTATTGTTAGTATTCGATTCGGGAGCTGGACGGGGTAGATGATGCTGACCACACAATCCGGGCATTTTCCTCCCTCGATATTGGCGCGGCCACGGCAACCGCGGGGATAGTTGGCGCAGGAGAACATGTTGTATAGGAGATCGAGAGTTGACGGCAGATGTCAAGGAGTTTAGGAGTTGCAGATAGATAGAGAGACGGATCTTTTGTTATTATTGTTGTTGCCCCTTTCTCCTCCACAGAATTTTTCTCCCTTTTTTTGCCCTTTTTTTTTCCTTTCTAGGGCTGAAATTGGGCGTCAAAGGAATAGCCCCGGTGCGGATCTGTCGCAATAGAAATAGAGTCGAGAAGCCCAGGAAAAATAATGTAATAGTAATAATAATAATAATAATAATAATAATAAAAAAAACTAAGCCACACAGCGCAGCGTGACGTCAAAAACGCCGACGGGTGTCTTGCAGAGAGACAAGCAGGAGTCTAAAGCACGCTTGCGAGGGCTGGTCGATGGTCTAGCTCCGCCACAATGTAGCTTGCTAGTATTGTATTGTTGAAGTTGTAGATAGTAGTCAAGGTCAAGACGACATGAAATGAAGGAATAGAATGAATGAATGAGTGAGAGAGAAAGTCGAGTCCAGCTGTCAGGGAAAAGGTCCAGAAGTAGATCGGAAGGTAAAAGGAAAGGGGTTTATATACACTGTGATAGAGTCCGACGGAACTGTCTGTGGTCTAGATGGAGAACTCGGAAGTGAAAACTCTTTTATGACAATTATTATTAAAATGAATCTTATCCCTTTGATCAAATCAACCATACTCTGTAGATTAAGCCAATCAATCTACGCACAGATTCAACGGCTCGACTGGCATCCACAGCAGTCAGTCTGACAGCATCATCATCAATCCTCTACTACTGACAGGCAAACTGGGCATCACCGACTTCTTCCTTAGCTCATGTCTCTATCATGTCTCTACTCCGTATTCTCAGGGGATGCTGATGGCTGATGGCATGGCTCATGGCTCATGGCTGTACTTGAAGCCGCCTCTTCCGGCTGGACAAGGCAGGTTAATTGTGTTATATTAGGTGGCTGTTAATATAATACGGAGTAGTTGGCATAATATGATACTATATGAGTGACTACATGGAAACATCAGTGCATCTGCATCATTCATTTAATAATAATAATGACTCGCAGCGCCTTGTTCTTAAGACCAGCATTATACCTGATACTCTCACTCAGCCATGCTCTACACAAGCAACTATCATCCCTCCTTCGATTACCATTACTACTATCCAGAAAGAATCCAGACCAACACTAACAAAGCATGTCAAATTGCACCGATCCACCGCCACTCACCGAGTTTCACATAGACAGCTGCCTCAGCCCCTAACCTCAAGCCGCACCAGCAAACTCTGAACCTTCTGGAAGCTGGCTGGAAGGCTGGAGTCTGGAGTCTGGAACTTGGGACTGGGACTGGGCTCCATGGACTACGACTGTCTCGGTCGGACACGGATACGAGCACCTATCTATTTCCCTAGTGTCCATGAATACAGACTGGCTGTCATTGTGTACAGCCTCATGCTGAATCAAAAGACTTGGCTGACAGCTATTATTATTCTACCATGCAGACACCTCGGAAAGATGAAAATATCCTATTATGCTCGGATGAAGGGATGGAATCACCACCCTGATGCATCTGGTCACTTGACAACAGCGGCTTATCCCGCCTCATAATCATCCAGAATAAGAGTAGGTACTGGTTAATCTCTTCTCATCTGACACTTTCGTCTGAGTATAATATTTCATCTCTGACAGGCTAAGCCCAGCCGAATCATCCGGAATCCGAAATCTCATGAGATGATCTGAGATAGACGGTTTCATGAGGCGAGGCGGAGCTCTAGCTTTAGTTAGCCGACTGTTGGGATGACTGTTGGAATGACTAGTGGGAGGGGGAAATCTCTGCTTTTGGTTTCGCTGCACTTTGCAAGATCTGGATTGTATCTTCTTGTTTCAGTAGATAATTGGAATCAAGATGTGATATAGACACCTTTATTATGATTATTCTATGATTGTCTTGTCCTCTGTAGATACTCTAGACTGTACTCCGTAGATACTGACTTATGGCCATAGTGGATCCCACTGTGTCTGTAACGGCTACCCTTGTCATAACTCATAAGCATGAGATTATCATAATACTCGTAACCAACACGGTTCGTTGATCTTTCCCTTCTGGTTTTCGTATCTCAGCCTCCGCCTACTCCACCGCTGACCTTCACTTTGTCTGGTGGTATCTGCTCCGAAGTTTATTTGAGATTGCCATTGAGCGATAGTCTCGGCCATCATTCCAGGCTGTTCTAGATCTTTGCGCGCTCAGGTGACCGTCCGATTTTGCAGATAAGATGCCGTACGGATGAAGCGGACATGGTCATAGGACGGAGGACATGGCTTATCTAAGATCCTCCGTAGTAGATTGGGAATTGGCTGGCCATGCAGCCGTCGTCAGCAGGTGATGCAGCGGACCCGCTTCGAGGGATTCTAGAAGCATGCTGCGTAGAGCGCATCAATCAATCTGGCTAGAGCTGGCTCGATCATACAGCCGCTGTGTCAATCGACAATTGAATCGGGATCGACATGGGGCTGTCCCGAGATCGCCCTCTTGAAACACTGCACTGCAAGCCTGACACGCAGGTCATATCTGTAACGCAGGAACGCTGAGCATCGATCGCAGCACATACCACGCCCCCAACCCGCCAATGACCAGGGCCACCAAGACCCGACGGCCCTCCCAGGTCAACCCCAGATACGCCAATCCACCCACCACCAGCTCTTTCCGTCTGGCCTCATCTCGCTTGCGTTTCCAGTCCCGGTCGATCGGAAACGGAGCCGCCGGCTGCTGCGCTGTCGCAGGCGCAGACTCTGAATCTGAATCTGATGGAGCGGCCTGGACCGACCGCAGGGCCACCGCCGCCAGCGCAACGGCACGATGGTCAGACGTCGGAAACAGAGGCAGTGCATCGTATCGGTAGGGCGTCAGTCCTCCCGGTGGAGCCGAAAAATCCCAATACAAGATTCGGTCGCACCAGCTCGGCCAGCGTGTGCGGGTGAACCTCCATTCGCGCGGATCGCGCGCCCCAATCTTGTACTTGTACGTTGGCGGGAAGGCGATGGGTGCTTCGGACAGGCCATGGAAACACCGGGCCTTTTCCCGTTCGCGCGTGAGCTGGTCCTCAAGCAGCAGCCGCGAGTAATGCAGCGGGCTGCTCGAGTCCGCATCCAGCCGGGGGAAGCGCGCAAAGTCGGCCTGCACCGGCAGCGTGTTGGACGTGCGGTAGTTGAGGTCGCCCGCGAGAAAGAGGTACCCGGGCGTAAACACGCCCTCCCACCCTTCGTCACCCGTTGTCCCTGTC